TTTTTTGGAGAGGCAATTATGATTAAGTGACTTGCCCAGTGTCACAAAGCTAGAGAGTTTTATGTGTCTGAGGCTGGATTTGAACTCAGGTCCTCCTGACTCCAGCCCTGCTATCTACTGTGCCACCTAGCTGCCCTGTCTTCCTGTCATTTTAAAGGGTAATTGACATGCCATCTCTTTCAGGAAGCCTTCCCTTATTCAAGCTTCCCACCTGCCTCTGTGCCCAACTCTGACCGTACAGTGTTTTTTCATTAGACCTCAGGTAGTATTTTATATTATGATGCTCTAATGTATGTATCATGGAACATTGGGTCTTATAGTATTTTATAGTCCAACACCAAATGGTAAGCTCCTTGAAGGCAGGAACCATAGCTTTAAACTTTGTATCTTCTGATTTTAGCAGAGTAATCTATACTTGGTAGATGTTTGATAAATGAATTTAGGGTAGTGAAAGATGGCATGGTCCCTGATCTTGAAAAGATAAATGCAATTAAGATCTATCAGATGATCCTTTGATGACAGTTCAGACTTATAAATACTTCAAAGTTTCTTTCTTTTCTTTTCTATTTGGAGGGGAGACACTACAACACTCCCTTTTGTCCCTCTCAGTTCTGATCTGGATCTTCAAGTGTTTGTCTAGAAAGTTGTTCGTATTTCATACCTAAGCTAGTAAATTCCATACTTGTCTGGCAAATAAAAGTGCCTGTTCTAGGCATCATAGGCTCAACCCCAGTCCCTACTTGTGTTGTTTTGTGGTGGCTGACAAGACCCCAACAGTGAGTGTTAGTGTTATTTTGTATTAGTACTGTGCTTTGGACCATTTTCCTTAGAAATAATGGTTAGCTTATCAGGGGACTGATGGTTTATGGTCAGACCACTATACCACAAGAATAAACCCATGGAGTTGTGGACACAGATTGGACCTGGTGCCTGAAGTTCTGGATATGAATCATTTACTTTGGATTAGTCACTTTGTTTCTCTGATCCTCAGTTATGTCATCTATATGCAACCTCTGAAGCTGAGATGCAACAAAGTATGGGTCAATTCTCTGCTGCTTGTGATAATTTTGGCCTAATAATTAACTAACACCAAGAAAACACAGCTGCTCCATCAGTCACCACAACACCATCCATACATGGAACTATCAGTTACAGCAAATGGAGAAGTTTTGAATGCTGTGGATAAGTGCACTTACCTTGGTAGTGTACTTTCCAGAAATGTACATATTGATAACAAGGTTGATGCACACATTGCCAGAGGTAGCTCAGTGTTTGGGAGGTGCCGAAGTAAAGTATGGGAGAGAAGAGGTGTTAGACTGACTACCAAACTGAAGGTGTACAGAGCCATTGTGCTGACCTCATTGTTGTATGCCTGTGAAACCTGGACAATATACCCAGTGCCATGCCAGGAAACTGAATCACTTCCATTTGAATTGTCTTAGGAAGATTCTGAAGATTACCTGGCAGGATACTAGACACTGAGGTCCTTTCTCGAACTAAACTGCCAAGCATTCATACTCTGCTTCAGAGAGTGCAACTCTGACACAAAATATACACTTGCCAAAAAGACTATTTTATGAAGAACTCACACAGGGCAAGTGTTCACATGATGGTCAGAAGAAGCGATACAAGGACACTCTCAAGATCTCTCTTAAGAACTTTGGAATTGATTGTGTGACATAGGAGACACTGCCACAGGACCACTCAGCATGGTGTGCCCTCATCAGAGAAGGTGCTGTGCTCTATGAGCAAAACAGAATTGAAACAGCTCAAAGGAAACACAGGATGTACAAATTTGGAGAATCCACCCCGAATACTCACATGGACTATTTGTGCCCAACCTATGGTAGAGTATTCCAAGCTCATATTGGTTTGATTAGCCACAGTGGGACACACTGAAACTTGGCTCTAGCATAGTGATGTCATTTTGGTCTTCTTTGAGAATGAAGGACAACAACCAATAGTGGGTATAATAGTATCTGCCTCTTGGGGTTGCTGCAAGCATCGACTGTAAAGAGCTTTACTACTGTAGAGAGCTTTGTAGCTACAAAATACTATGCATGTATCAGGTATTATTATTTAGAAAGGGATCAGTGGTGAAGGAGAAAGAATATTGGACTTGGTGCCTTCTGGACTGTCACTTAATTTCCCTGAATTCAATTTCTTCATCTGTAAAATGGGGATGATAATACTTATTGCACTTATTTTATTTACTTTATTATTTGGCTCCAGTGAAATAATATATGTAAAGCGCTTTGCAAAGCTTAAAGTCCTATAAGTAAAGAAACTACTGGTATTACTACTTTAATTGCTGCTATAGATTAGTTTATTTACTAATGTAGTCACTTGAATTTTATCATAGCATTAAATATTTAATGTAGAATTTGGCTTCCTCTTCTTTATTCCTAGCTCTAGTTCTCCTTTTTTGCCTTGTTAATAACATCTTATGCACTGAAATTACAATTTTAAAAATAATTTATTCTAAATTGGGTGAGGAATGACATGAATCCTAATTATGTACCTATCTACCACTTTAAATTCTAGCATTTAAATTCAGGCTAACAGCTGAATTTTCCATAATTTCCATTAAATTAATCATTTAATGACTCCCTCTGGAAGTCTCTTGTGGTAATCTCTAACCTGTTTGTTCCCTGGTCTGCTAAACCTGAACTAAATTCCTAAGTTTTAAGTAGCCCTAGGCAAAGGAGACTCTACTAGGGTTGATTTGTTCACTCATTATTATTCAAGGAAAACCAATATAGCCAGAAAACTTTTTCTCGTGATTAACTGAAGTGCTGGTTCAAAATAAAAATATCCACAATGATTTTTTGTTTTCAGAAGATTAACATGCTAGACCTTATATATTTAAATATATACTGTCATCACCCTACAAGTCCACATGTGTATTTCAAAGATACTGTCCCTGCTCAAAACACCTTGAGAACTGCTTTTTTGTATTTCCTTCAGCATCTCAAGCTTCTTTTAAATGTTCATCCAATCCTAGAATTTCAGAGTTGCAAGGGACCCCAAAGGGGATACTTGGCCAAGAATATGCCTTTTAACATCTCCAATTATTGACCCTCCTGAGGTTTGAAGACGTCCATTGAGAGAAAGTCATTGCCTTTTTTTTTTTAGTAGTATTTTATTTTTTCCCCCATTTACAGGTCAAAAAAAATTTAGCATTAATTTTTATAAGATTGTGAGTTCTGAATTTTTCTCCCTCCCTCCTTTCCCTCCCCTCTTGTGAAAATGGTAGGCAGTTTGATATAGTTTATTATACATGTGCTATCATGTAAAAAATATTTTCATAGTAGTCACAGTTGTGAAAGAAGAAACATTAAAAAAATGAGAAAAAATAAAGTAAGGCAAAAATTCTTCAATCTGCATTCAGACTACATTAATTCTTTATCTGACTATGGATAGCATTTTCCTTTGTGAGTCCTTTGTACTTGTCTTAGATCATTGTATTGCTGAGAAGAACTGAGTCATTCATAGTTCATCATCACACAATCTGTAAACGATGTTTTCCTGGTTCTGCTCATTTCACTTTGAATCAGTTCATGTAAATCTTTCCAGGTTTTTCTGATATCTGCCTGTTTATCATTTCTTATTGCACAATAGTATTCCATTACATTCATATACCATAACTTGTTCAGTCATTCCCCTATTGATGAGCATCCCTTCAATTTCCAATATTTTGCAACCATGAAAAGGGCTGCTATAAATATTTTTGCCCATGTAAGTCCTTATCCTTTTTTTATGATCTCTTGGTCACCACCTTTTCAATTGCTTTTCTAATCATAGGTTCATTGGAGTGGGAAGTAGCCTTACAGCGCAACTAGTCCTTTGCTTTCATTTTACAGTTGAAGAAAGCAGATCCTAATAAGGTTAAATGACTTGCCCAGAGTCACACAGGTATTAAATAGTAGTAGGATTTGAACCTGGGTCTGCTGATTCCAAATCTGGTATGCTTTCTACAATACCACATTGCCTTATGTTGAGTGGAAATCTGTCTGCCTCTCCAGTACTCCTTCCTCTTCTCTATACTGCTAAGTTAAAAAAGTCTAGTCTGTCTTGCATATGACAACCCTTCAAATATCAGATAATTTCTCTGGTGTTCACCCTCTCCCCAAGTGGTCTCTTCTTCAGGTTAGGCATTGGAAAATTCCTTGCACAGACTCTCCAGTGTTACCTTCCAATGATGTGTAGACAAAGTAGTCCCAACCATGGGATGGACCAGGACTGTCATCACCTACCTCCCTTGTTCTGTGTACTGTGTGAACTGTACCTTTGTTAATGCATCTCACTCTTACCTTAGCCTTTTTGGGTACCGCATTGCATTCTTGATATTATTCCATTCTCATTTATGGTAAATTGGCATCCTGGGGGGGTAGATTTGAGTTTTGAAAATAGCCAAAGATTATTCAAAATCAGGTTGGTTGGCTAAGGTGAGTATCAAGCCAAGGTATTCTATTTTAGTCTGAAAATGAGACTAAATGAGTATCAGGTCACAAGATTTAATTTTGAAAAATGTATCTTATTCATTCATCCATTTATTGATTTGTTTGCTTTATTTGTTTATGGTTGATAAATGGGCTCTAAAAATCCTTTCAAAAGAAATATTAGGTCCAAAAAGGTTTTGAGAAACAGCAGCAAAAATTGGGTAAAGGATATGGCCTTCCAATGAGGACTAGCACTTACTAGGTACATAGGCTTGGGAATGTTTATTTTAAAACCTGATTTTCACAGCTTTCATTCAGTCCACACTCTGCATACCCACAAAAGGAGAGGATAGAAGTGGCTGCTGCATTTAAACTTACAGATTTTAAGCCCACAGTAAATATGAAAATTGTGAGTTTGAGAAGTGAAAATTCCAAGAAATGGGAAGATGCATCAACCTTTCATACTTAAGTTCTATTTGCAGTTAGTGAAAATGTGGACTTGCTCAAATAGTAAGACCCTTTTAATTTTAACAAATTCTTTGTTTCCTTGTTCCTTAGGTTGATGAAGCTTATGTTAATGGTCTTGCAAAAATGGTCAAAGAGAAGTAAGTATCTTATGCAAGTTATGTATGTTATGAAGTGAATCACTTTTCCATTTTATCTTTATCTCTCCTCCTTACCCTTTACCTTTTTATTGCTTTCTGCTTTTTTCAAATATTTCTTCTGCTAATGATTTGGTCCTTATAGACAAAATAAGCTGGGGTGGTCTGATCCATGAGCAGGGGGGGATATACCTTGTAAATGAGTAGTTCTGTCCATTTCTTTGCAGAGCCTTCTTCCATCTGAACCTCTGCATTTGCCCCTTTCCATTCATTCAGTTCAATGAGTATTTGAGAAGTATCTGAGGGAGAGGTTGGAGGATTGGGAAAGGCTTCCTATAGCAGATGGCACTTGATCTGATGGAGCCTTGAAGGACATTAGGGTTTCTAAAAGGTGGAGGTGAGAAGGGCAATGCATGGGGGTCAGCCCATGCAAAGGAAGAGAGTGTGAGGTGGTGTATTGTGTTACAGGAACTACAGGAGGTTGGCCAGTTTGACTGGAATGAAGGGCCTGTGAAGAGGAGTAATATGAAATCAACTTGGAAATGTAGCCTGAAGTCAAATTGTGAAGGGTTTTCAATGCTAGAGGAGTTTGTATCTTATCTCCTAGAGACAATAGGGAGCTACTGAAGGTTCTTTTTCTTTCTTTCTTTTTTTTTTTTGTGAGGCAGTTGGGGTTAAGTGACTTGCCCAGAGTCACACAGGTAGTAAGTGTTATGTGTCTCAGGTCACATTTGAACTCAGGTCCTCCTGACAGGAGGGCCAATACTCTATCCACTACGCCACTTACCTGCCCCAATTTTTTTTTTGAAGGTTCTTAAAAGCAGGTGATGACATAGATCTGTAATTAAGGCCTATCACTTTGCTTTATTTTATTTTCTATTTCAGTCAATAAAAATCTGTTTTCTGTCTTCTTTCCCATACCCACCCTACCACTACCATCTTAAAAAACAAAAATAAAACCCTATAACAAATATACATGGGCACCAGGAGGTGAATGCATTGAGCAGTCATTTCATGTTCTTTTACCAGAAGCAGTGGTCATATTGGTTTGGTTATTATCCTATGAGCAAGAGGCAGAAAGTAGAGGAATGGCAGAGAAAGAGGGAGGGGACTGAATTCCAGTCTCTCACAGAATCAGAGCTGGAAAAGACCTAAGAAGCCATCTAGTCTAACTTAGACCAAGAAAAAGATCCCTTCTCTATCATACCCAAGAAGTGGTCACTTTGCCTTTTCTTGAAGCCCTTCAGTGAGGGGAAACCTACTACTTTTTGAAGTAACTCATTCCAATTTTGTCAAGCTTTAATTGTTAGACAGATTATCATTAAAAAAAAAAAAGGCAAGAAACTAACCGTTACAGCGGATGTCCAGATTTTTAAAAGTTTCCCACCATATCTAAATCATGACTTGGTGCCAAGCTTATGTCTATTTTCCCAAATTTGTCTGTTTTCTTTTTCTGCCTGGGTAGTCTTTCATATTCTGATGACAATTTCACTCTTCCTGCTTGCATCTATCTTCATTCCTCCAAATGTTCTTTGCACTGCTTTCCCTGGCTGGTTCCTGGGTTTCCTCATGAGTATATCTTAGTATGGAATTCTCTCCCCTCCTTCATCCCACCTCCCCTCTCCCCAGCCCTTTACCTATTTCGTTTCCTATGAATTAGGTATTGCAGTCAAGGAATCCCATTAAATCTCAGAGACACCTGTAAGGTCACATTTGTCTCCCTGCGTTTGGATCTGTAATTCATCTTTCTCATTACCCATACTTGGTCTATCAGATTAAATATCTGATGTTAATTTTGATTGCAAAGGAAACATGGGAAAATAATGTTTTCTAAGTATCCCAAGTAACCTATACTTCATTAATAAAACATTCTGAATTCATTTCTGAGCATTAATAGCTATCCTATTTAGTAGCTATCTTTTATATTCTCAGGTTTCATAGCTTACAATGAAGTCTTATTAATTTCTTAGGGAAATGGTGTGTGTTGAGGGAGGAGACCTGCTATTTTGTTTGTTTCAGGAAATACAGTATTCAGTGTCAATCTACTATTTGTTTCTGTTTACAGATTCCCCCAAAAAGTGAATTCTGGAGTCTTAGAGATGATTTCTCCGCCTGCCTTTTTTTATCCATCTTTTTTAGACATCAAGTTAATGTTTGGGGACTCAGAAAAAAGAGTGAGGTATGACAATCTGGACAACAGTGCGTTTAAATTGGTAGTGATTCATTTTGTGAAAAATGTATTAATAATGTTTAAGAATCTGTATCCAAGTTATATATTCCAAATGTTGTCAGTTTTTGGGTACACTTAATGAATTTCCTAAGAAAAGCCTGGAAAGTCTTGGGGCTGTGAACCAGGAAAACTGCATTATATTTCTAAGGCATCCACTCAGTTAGTTGTGCAACTTTACAAAAGTCATAGCTCTCTGAGACAGTTTATTTAACCTTTCAAATGAGTACATCAATACCTTCCTCATCATGGTGTTGAGAATCACTGGAGGCTATAAATAAGAAAAGAACTTTCACAAATTAGAAGTTTTTTTTGGCTTTGCATTATGTTCCTGGAATATCATAGAGGAAGTAGTATAAAAATGCTACAATGTTGGTTCCTTCTCTGAGTATTTTTCTTGAGAGCAAGAATAGGCAAGATTTCTCCCTGAAGCTTACAGTTCTGTTTGCCTTTGGTTCGAAAGTGGCTATGGTATGTCAGACAGTGGTTGCTTGTTACAGGCTTGACGTAGTTGCAGAGTCCTAGAGTCTCAAAGTTGGAGAGCTCCACAGAGACCACCTCATCCACTCTTTCCCTCAACAAGAAAGCCCTCTGGACCACACTGCGTGATTGATTGTCCATCCTCCACTTTAAGGCCAGCAGTGAGAAGAGAATATACTTTTCCCTCAGGTAGCCTATTCCACTTTTTGACAGGTTTGTTTGTTAGGAAGTTTTTCTCTATTTGGAGCTTAAATCTCCCTCCTGACAATGTCCCACATATTACTACTACCACCAGCTGTACACCAGTGCAGAAAAGGACCCGGGATTTAGAGTGGGATTGGATCCTTGAGGTTATCTAGAACAACCCTTTGAATTTTTAGATGAGGAAGCTGAGGCCCACAGATGTTAAGTGATTTGTTCAAGATCACACAGAACCAGAATGCAAACCCAGGTCTTCTGACATACTGGAAAATACTGCCTTCCCAGGCTCATTACTTTTCAGTTTTACAGCCCTTCTAATATTTAAAGACACTTATATTCTCCCCCATATACCCACCCAAACATTAAATCTCCCCAGTTCCTTCTATGTGGTAAAATTTTGAAGCCTTTTATGATTCTGGCTACTCTCCCTTGGATCCTGACAGCTAGCTGATCAACATCCTTCTCAAAATCTAGTGCCCAGAACTTAACACAATGTATTCCAGATGTGGTCTGACCAAAATGGAGTGCAGGGGAATTATTGTCTCTGTCTTTCTCATCACTGTATCTCTCCTCAGACTCCCTAAGATTCTATTAGCTATTTTGGCTTCCGTATAACGCATATTTAGCTTGAAGTCCATCAATACTCTTAGACTTTTTTCAGAAGAACTGCTTTCTGATTATGTCTGCCCCATCTTGTACTAGTGAAGTTGATTTTTTTAAAAAATCCCAATATAAGATTATTACATTTATCTCTCAACTTTCATCATTGTCCAGATTTGGGCCAGTGGTCTAGATACTGAGCCCTTTTTGAATACTGATCGTTTCATCCCATATGTTAGCTGTTCCTTCTAGCTTTGTGCCACCTTTTGTCTAAGTCGTTGATAAAACATTAACTGTGTAGTACAAGGATAAGGACAGATCCCTTGAGGAACATCATGAGACTGTTTCTTCAAAGTTGATATTGAGCAATTATTGATAAATCTTTATTGTTGTTGAGTTGTTTCAGTCATGTCCTACTCTCTGTAATCCTATTTGGGGTTTTCTTGGCAAAGATACTGGAGTGGCTTGCCAGTTTCTTCTCCACTTCATTTTACAGATGAGAAACTGTGGCAAACAAGCTTAAGTGACTTACCCAGGGTCACACAGCTACTAAATATCTGAAGCTGAATTTGAACTCAAGTCCTCCTGACTTCAGGGCTGGCACTGTATCCACTGTGCCAGCTTCCTATCTGCCCAGCTGACAAATCTTTGGGTCTGACCTTTCAATCAGTATCATCCCCTCCTAACTGTACTTTTGATTAGCCCACATGTCTCCATCACAATGACAGCAAAGAGACTTTGCAAAATACTTTGCTAAAATGTAGGTGTAAACTATGTATACAGCCTATACCTGATCTACTAGTCTATTTTCTTTGTCAGAAAAAGAAATCAAGTTAGTCTCCTGTGTAAACTGGCATGGCTTGTTCTTGATGAAGTCATGTTGACTTTTTGTATTTCCTGATTTCCTTTTTTAGTTATTCAATAACCATTCTTTTAATAATACATTTAAGAATTTTATCAAGAGCAGAAATCAAGCTCACTGGTATACAGTTTGCAGACTTTACTCCCCCCCCACAGACACTTTTTTTTATAAAATTAAAATATCTGCCCTTCTCCTCATGTGACACCTCTCCTGTTCTCTATGATGTTGAGTTTCAATTCCTTATTTACCACTTTTGTTTTATTCTTTCTAGTCCAAAGGTCATTCTCCTATGACTTCTATGTGTTTCTCTATGAGTTCTCAGTGTTTCCAAGTTTGTTTCTTTATACAACTTCCCCTTTTCCTCCTCATAGGTAGGAATTGCATCTCCTTGTGTCTGTAGAATTTCTTTCTTGGACTACTCATTTCTCTTGGCCTAATGGCCTCTAGCTTAAATCCATAAGGTCTTACCCTATCCTTTCTCTGAGCCCTTTGGAATTGTCTTTCCCTGCATAAATTTCAACTTTTCCTAGCTTTCTTCTTCATTTCTGTCCCAGGTTCTCAGAAAGAAAGGGAGTGCTTACTTTTTCCCAAGGTTCCCACCATTTCTACTTTTTTTTTTCTTTTTTCTTTTTTTGACGAGGCAATGGGGTTAAGTGACTTGCCCAGGGTCACACAGCTAGTAAGTGTTATGTATCTGAGACCGCATCTGAACTCAGGTCCTCCTGACTTCAGGGCCAGTGCTCTATCCACTGCATCACCTACCTGCCCCCCATTCCTACTTCTTCAACCTGTTTCTCCTTACTTGGTGAGGCTCTGATCCTTCATCACTCATCTTGGTCTCTTCCACAAGATTGTCACAGAAAAGATATTCTAACAGTTTCTTATGTCTCATATTTCAGAAGATTTATTCTCAGAAAACAATTTAATGATTTCTACTGGTTGAGTCCCCAGTCTTTTATCTAACCTAAAATGAAGTTCAATTGTTCTTAATCTTCAGGTCAATTTAGGTAGTATTTGATTAGCACCTACTCCATCTGTTCCTTAAATGCTAGGTGCTGTGGGGAATATGCATGCATTGCATAACAGTGTCCTTCCCTCAGGAAGTTTATAGTCTTTTGTCAGGGGAACAAAACTTTTGTATATGAAATTATGAAAATAGGAGCAATAATAATACATGCTAAATCACATAACTTTGTATAATCAGATAATGGTACAAGACACAGCATGGCACACTCGTTAGAGTCCTGACCTTGAAGCCAGGAAGACCTATGGTTCAAATGCTGCTGCCTCTGACCTATATGGGCTATGTGACCATGGGCAAGTCACTTAACTCTGATTGACAGTTCTTTAGACTTGTTATGTAATGGCTGAAGGATTTCCTCACCCAGGCATTTATGGTATCAATGTAATCACAAGTCTAATTCTCATCCTTATATTTGGCAAAATGTTTCAAGTCATAAAAGTGAACTTATGGAAGAGACAAGAATCATAAGTTGGATGGGAAAAATCAATTAATTTCCCTTCTGGAGAGCATATTAAAACAGTTCATTATGTACAGAATATGAGGTTCTTTTAAAATCTTCTTTTAGAAAATTACCTAATTAGGAGCATATGGGATTACCAGCGTATGATTTGAGTGAATGAAAAAATATTAAGAATTTATGGTGGTGCAGCTAGGTGGCCAGTGAATAGAGCACCAGCCCTGGAGTAGGAGGACCTGAGTTCAAATCTGGCCTTAGATATTTACTAGCTGTGTGACCTGGGCAAGTTGCTTAACTGATCGCCTCCAAAAAAAAGCAAAAAAAAAAAAAAGTTTACTGTACGCCAAGCACTAAGGATACAAATAGAAAAAAAAACCCAAGATAGTCCATGCTCTCGAGGGTCTCATACGGTAATTGTGGAAGACTTGTTTGATTACTTAATTCTCTGGATCTAAGTTTTCTCAACTTTAAAAGGAGGGAGTTAGGCCAGATGACATCTTAGGTATCTTCTAGCTCAAAATTGACAGTCTATGGATTCTCAAAATGATTTAAATGTTAACTATACTCATAAGATCATAAAATCATAAATCAAGAACTAGAAGTAACTTCAGAGGCTGTCTAGTCTGACCCTCACACTCCCCCCCATTTTATGCATGAGGATACCAAAGCTCAGGGAGTTTTAATAACGATTTACCCAAGATATACAAGTGGGAAGCATCAGAAGTGGGATTTGAACCCAGGTCCTCTTACTCTATGGCCAGTGCTTTTTTCCCCTCTGTACCATGTTTGAAAAATACCAATTCATTCTGTTTCTTCTGAATTAAATATTGGGGCTAGCCAGAATTTAATAAAAATCAAATGTGCTTTTATTTTAATATATTACTGTTTCATTACTAAATGACCATTTTCTATGTCCTCTTAGTGCCTGCTTTTACCATGGCAATAGATTTTAAAGAGGTGGTAGATTGTTGGAGTGAAAAAGGTGCCCTTAAGAGGTCTTGACCCTCCTATCTCCATCAGTATGCAAATCATTTGACTGGAATGCAGCCAGCATTGCCAAAGTAAATAATTGATCTTTCCATCATTCTGAATGCTTTTCAGTTGTATTAAGACTTGATTATGGTCTTATTCCCCATTACTCCTTCAGATTACTATTTTTTATTTATTTTCATTTAGGAATTAGTTGCACTTATTCAAATCATTATTTATTTGTTTTAGTTTGGGGATGAACTACTTTGAGCCAATGTCAAGTAGAACAAAAAAATACTAATTTTTCCCCTACTGTTTTCTGAGCCAAATGAGATACTTCTTCACTTTCCCTCAGTCATCTAAAAATGCCCAGGATATCAGTATATTATATGCAGAAGCATAAGTAAGAATTGCAGTCCACTGCGCTATTAGATAGCTAACACTATCTTTTATGTACATTCCATATTGTTTCATGTGAGGATAACTATTAAGTTACCTGACCGCAGAAGGCATTGGGTGGCCCCAAACCCTAGAAAGTAGCAATCAAAGCTGCTTTGAAGTTGTAGAGAGATTCTGTAATAATTTCCAGCCCTGCTGACGCCATTGTTGTTAGAGCAGTTCATTCATTCATTTAAAAAATACTTGATGAGAACTGGGATGTGGGTGTGTCAGATTCTCATCTATGAGAGAAACCCTGTATGTATAGATTTACACATGTCTGAATGTGGGCAGAGGGAGAGGTTGAGGGGCGGGGGTTCCTGAAGGAAGGTTCCATGGGCATGGAACCAGGAAAGTGGCTTCTATCTACCAGCAGCTGCTAAACCTTCAGCCTTCAGCTCCATTGGCCAAGACCAAACTAGTCATTGTATTCTGCACTTGTTTATTTATTACATCATTTATGCATACTAATTCACTTTTACTGATATACATGAAGTTTGTATTTGAGCAAAGACTAGACCAGGAGAAACAGTGTGTCATCTTTTCCCCTTCTCCCACCCTTCCCTAGCCATCCTTATACCACGGAAGAAAAGGATTTTGAGTTTTTGTCATATCGTATGGCCTGCTTTAGCATATGTTCTGTATGATAAAGTAATTCATTTTTAATACCACTGAAGCCCTTGTTAGGAAGGGCAGATATTTGTAAAAATGCACAAATTATGCTGGCTGAGAAACTTGTTCTCTTTAATTATGGATCTTGTTTACCCCATTTAAATTCGTCCATGTCAAGGTGTCATATAAGAATCTCTTTTAAGCATGACAAATAGTGGCAGATGGCATGGAAAAAAATATCCATGGGAAGATTTGTATGCACATCTATGATAGCCTTCCAACTCTATGCTAGGGGGCATCTTTCATACAGTTTGTATAAAATGTATGTAGACTGACAGTCTATAGAGAATTGGGCACATAGCAGAAATGAAGCATTTTCTCTTACTCCAGGTGACAGCTTTCTTGGTCTTCATGTACCTCATAAATACAGGAAAACTGTTTTTTTTTTTCCTTGCCACCCAATAATTGCACTGGTAGGAAGAGAATTCTGGTGACTCCAGACGATAATGATTCAGATTGATCATTTATAATAAATTAGAGGAATTTCAACAGGAAATGGAATACCAAATTAGAAGATAGAGGAGCCCAGCTCAACGTTCCAAACTCCCCTCATTTTGTGGTGGTTGACATTAGCTACATAAAGAAGATAGTATCCTTTAGCACACAAAGATGCTGGCTTCACTTAACCTAGGAAGCACTTTCTCATAGTAACCATCTTCAAGAATTTGATCCCTGAATTGTGTTGCATACATCATACCTTTGAACAATAATGGAAAAAATGTTAATGGAGATTTTATTGCTAACCTTTAGGTGGAGGACCAAACAAAACCTGGATTACAGCTTCTTGATGCTGTACGCCCAAGATAAGGGCAAGTTTTACCTTCAGGTAAGGTGATATTATAATCATTCCAGTAGGACCATTCAGTTGAACAGAAGCATATCAGACAGTTGCTCTATGGGGGCTAGATGCTAAGATCAATCTCTGACTTGTTATATCTCCCTATTCCCATACAGTAGTACGAGAGGATAAGATAAGAACTGATATCATTATATTAGGAAGTAAAAAATAGTAAGTGCATACATAAGAGAAGAAAATGCTGTATAAGGACTTTCCAGCTGGGGAGGATCTGGGACAGATTCATGGAGGTAGCAGCCTGTGGACTGAGACTTAAAGGAAAGCATAGTATGTCAGTAGACAGCAATTGAGGGAGGGCATTCCAGGTAATGATTGGTGTGAACAGATATCCAGAGGGAGGAAAGTGTGTGCTATGTACAGGGACCACCCATGTTTTTCTGCATGAGAAAGGAAGGTTGGTACCAGGCTCTGGAGAGTCCCGTTTGTTTTGCTGTAGCAATGATCATGCTTTTATGTAGCTCATCATTCTTTTTATTTTTTATTGATTTTTTTAAATTTTTACCTTTTTCATTTTTTATTTTGGCAACTTAATGTTTTTCCTTTTTGTTCAAGGTGGCTACCAATTTATCAATTTAGCTTATCTTAAAAAAAAATTCCAGTGATCATTTCTATCATCTTTTGTGACCTGGTTTATCCATTTCCCCCCCTAATTTTCAACATTTTTTCTTTTGTTCTTGGTTTGGGTTTGAACATTGTGGTTTTTATACACGGAAATAAATGGGACTGACTCTTGAAGAAAGTGGAGATGTTTTTAGCTTAGAAAGTGAAATTAGTAAGCCAAATTCTTCCATTCCTGTGTAGTGGGGTGGCTCTTTCCAAGTTTAATTGGGCATCCTTTCGTCTTCCTCTGTGGCAGAAATACCATATTACTTCCTGACAACCCACAACTGGGGATCATAAGTTGGCATGATTTTGTTCTGTTATTGACATTGTAGCTCCCAGATGAGGCAAGACCAGAGGATTAGTGACCTTCAGATCGCTTTAGTTATTAAGCACCTATTGTGTGCAAAGCACTGTGTTGAGTACTGGGGGTTTTAGTGAAGCCCAAGCTTAATATGACTACACCAATGCAGGTTATGACCCTTTTAACAATTTGGTAAGGTTGCAACTCTGAGAGCAGCTGTGTCTGCAGAATTCATCTCCCTATGGTCAGTGTGGGGATGATCATTTTTGAACCTAGACAGGCTGGTCCTTGGGCAGCATACCTAGGAAAATTTGAGAATAGAAGGGAGTTTAAGAGCTGGGAGGATGAAGAACACCTCCAGGGAAGAATTGGCCCCTGAATGGAGCCTTGGAGGTAGATAAAGATAAATCCCATGGATTTGTGGGAGGACATCCTACTTTTTAGATGGCTCTCATCGCTAGGGAGGAGCCTCAGTTTCTTTCCTTGAAACCTGTACCCTTGGCTTCCTTTAGTTCTGAAGCATCTGAAGTTGTTGTCTTTTCATGGTGTGGCCTCATTATTTGGTATTGTCCAGGTTGGGGAAGGGGCAGTGCATTTTTTTATAACCTCAGAGATGCCCACAACTTAAAAAAAATGAATTAAAATGCATTTCAAGGCAAATATAAATGACTTAGGGATTTATTGTCCTGCCCTTAGTCCCCTTTAAGGTTCAGGTGGATAATAGAATAGTGTGGAGAAGGGGACAGTGGCTCAGTGGAAGGAACATCAGACTTTTAGGATGATGAACAACCTGGCTCCAGCTTTACCAACTATATCACCACATGCAAGTCATTTAACCTTAAGCCACCATCTCCTCGTGTGCAAAATGGGGAAAATAATACTTGTATTCTTTTACCTCTGAGGGAAAAGGTAAGCTTTTTGTAAGACTTAAAATGCAAAAGAAAAGAGGTGTGATTATTACTAAGACTACTAGCTATCTTTTCTTTTTAAAAAATTTACTTAGCTTCATTAAATCAGCATGTGATTGCAGTCAGAAGTTTGCCTGCTGTTGATGTAATAATTAAAATTGGAATTCATATAGTGCTTTAAACTTTGCGAAGCACTTTATTTACATTTCAGATCTAACTTGAGCCTTTAAACAGTGCAGGAAGGTCAGTGTTGTTATTGGTGTTTGTACCTTTGCTCAAAGAGGACCAAAATGACATGGTGTGAGGTTTGATGTAGTATGTCCAACTGGGGCTGATCAGATTAATATGAGCTCAAAAGGCTCTATCACAGGTTGGCTACAAATAATCCACATGACCATTTGGGACAGAGATGGCTCTAAGTTTGCACATCTCATGTTTCTTTTGAACTACCACAATTTTGCTTTGCTTGTAGAGCACAACTTATTTGATGCAGGCATGCCATGGTAGGTGGTCCTGTGCCATTGCCTTCCATGTCACACAATCAATACCAAAGTTCTTGGGGAGATCGTATTGCCAGCTATATATACACAGTATGATAGACTATACACTTAAAATCCTCAGGTAAAGAAACTGAGGATCAGAGGAATTAAGAGACATCCACAAGATAGAGGAGCTTGCCACTTGACACTGTTAAGTGTAGGAGGTGGAACTGAACACCTACGTGGTCTTGAATCCATGTCCGGTGTTCTGTTCCCTGTGCCATGCTGATGTCCAAATGAGCTTACCAGATAGACCTTAGAGCATTTTCCAAAAGAGCTTTTGAAACTGGCACACACTTTTCCTGAGCAAAGTATGGGCATACATGAATTATTTGGTCTTGTGTAGGTTGCCTAAGTGGTATGATACAAATTGTTGTTGTTGTTATTGTTGTTGTGTTGTTGTGACTTCAGGGAGGTGATGACATGACTTGGCAATTGACTTTGATTTGAGTGAGGGAGAGCTGTGCAAGGTCACCAGCCTCACTTTCTCCTCCAGAGCCATCTGGGTCCAGTGGCCAGGTATCCATCAGGACCCCTGGAGATGGCCCAGCGACACAAATTAAATCCTTTTACAAAATAACCATGGTAGAATTCTGTAGGTACAACATAAAAACCTATTGCACCTTTTGAGAAGTCTCTACACTTGTGACATTTTTTCAGTGCTATCTAGACTTTCCTAGCTCAGCAGACTAGTGGCAGACTAGAATTTCTGATGAATATTGTGTGCTCCTAGGTACAATGACCCTTTTACAAATGAACTGTTGGTTTTCATAATTTCAGAGAAGATTTTAAATTTACTCACACATATAAGCTGCTTTTCATACTGGATATATCTGAAGACTTTGTGCAAACTTACAACAAAAACATGCTTTGCCTCCAACACCTTCTACTAATCTTTCTTTAAATTGTGTCACTTGAATAGTACTAATTACCACCTATCTACCTTATAGTATCCTTTTTTTTTTCTCTAGACCCACAACTTTACCTGTATAGGAAACTCCCTAATGTGGCAGCTTTTTCCGCCAAGGCACAGTAATAACTTCTCGGTAATTTATATATAATATTTCAGCATAGCCTGAAGCACTGACAGATTAAGTGTCTTGACTCTTGACCATGGAGTCATATACCTAGTATTTATCAAAGGTAAGACTTGAACCTAGGTGTTCCTGGATTTGAAACCAGCTCTCTCTATTACCTCATTGCCTCTCATGTTGTCTGTCTATCTATCTTCATATCTATGTATCTATATCTGTCTACCTATATACCTACTTAATTTTATATCTATATAGGTCTTCCATTCTAGGGAAGGAGGTATGAGTGTGTGCGCGCGTATCTGTGTATGTGAGTATGTGTATGCAATATACATACATATATATGTATATATGTGGAGAGGCAGAGAGAAGGAGAGAGAGATAGCAACATATCTTAATTTATCTTTCCATCCCCATAACACTCCACATAGTAAAAAATGGTCCAAATTTGAATCTGAGGACCTTCACTTCTTCTGATGTAAATAACTCTTCACAATATAGCTTCCACTTATTCAGCCTTGTTACTTCTGCCTTTATGTTTCTCCCTTTCAGAAGCACTTTGTTCCAGCCAGACTGGACCATTGACCTGAATTCAGTTCTTCACCATTGGAGTGCAGTCACTTCTCAGCGGTGTCTTTCAGAATCCCTATTTTCTTTACCAATTTCCTTTCCTCACTGTATCTCCTACTCTGTGAGGTCTTCTCCACCTCCCCTAGTTGTTAATACTCTCTCTCTTTTCAATTTTCTTTGTATTATACTTATCTGCAAACATGTTCTTTCCTATTTTCTTGCCTAAGAAGAATGAAAATCTGTAAAAACTGGGATTAGTTTGTTTGTGTCTTTGTATGCCTAGCAGTGCCTAGCACAATGCCTGGAAACATAGATGCTTCATAAATGTTTGTTAAATTTCGTGGCAGGTGGGGAAGCCAATTAGGAGACTGTTGTCACATTCAAAATAGCATTGCTCTGGGTGAGGTAGAAAATGACTTTCATCCCTTTTATTTCATGGTGTGATGAGCCATAATGTGTACAGCACAAAGGATATTGGATCTGGAGTCAGTGAACCTGGATTCAAATCCTGACTCTCCTTCTCACCACCTGTGTGACTTTGGGCAAACCATTTCACTTCTCTAAGACACAATTTCTTCAGGGATAAAACGTGGACATTGGATCAGATGACCTTTAAGACCCCTTCAAGTTCCATAAATTCTGTGATCCTAGGAGCAGATTAGCAAGAGTCAGCAAAGAAGCCTTGACCTCAAAATCACAAGGGTGTGGATGCTGGGGGAGGGAAGGCAAAGGGAAAAGGATTACCTGTCACTAAGAACCTCTTTGCAACCTTATTTAACATGCATTCTTTAAAGATTCAGTTGTTTCTCATAAATATTTGTAATAGAAAATTTTAATGTTCTGTTTAGAGTGATTTTTTTTCCCCTCTTCAGGTACAGTCTTATTATTCCCCATCCTAGCACTGGTTATTAAGGTTAGTTGACAATGAAAGCAGATGGTCCCCCCTCCTTCCACCTCCCCACACCCGATAATATATCCCTCTGTGCTCTCCTGTCCTGAAGTTATGAGATACTATCTC